TGCTGGTGTGACCAACTGAGAAAGTTAGTCGCAAAAGAGCGACCAGTGGGAAGAATGAGTCTGGAGCCCTGAAGGTCCACATCTATTACATTAGATATTTGACATTTACATTAGATATTTGAACATGCTATTAGATATATGCTTATGTTGTCATTTAAAATCCGGACATCATTGGCAATGTTACTGTTTTAGTTATGCAAACAAAAACTCATTTGATTTGTTGTTTGTTGATTTTAAATATAAAATTTGGTGAAATTATTTGTGTCAGTACTTTTTGAACATTTCCAGCACATTTTAACAATACCGTGATAATACTGATAACCGTGATCATTTAGGTCACTATAATTGTGATAAGAAATTTTCATACCATACACATACTAGTATGTGTTTATATTTAAGTAACATTTCATTTGGTTTCTCTCTGTGTCTCTCCAGTGTGTGTCATCGTGGGTTCTTTAACTGCACATATTCGCCATGTCCAGCGGTGTGCACTCGTGATAAGAAATTTTCATACCGTTACATCCCTAATTGTAATGTATTCTAAAATGTAACATTTCTGTGATGAATAATTTTAAGCATCATAACTCCAGTCTTCAATTATTCTAATATGCCGATTTGCTGATATAAGAAACATGTCCTATTACTATTATTGTTGAAAACAGCTGTGTTGCTTCATATTTTTGTGGAAATTGTTTCTCAAAGTTCTTTGATGAATAATAAATACAGCATTTAATTAAAATAGAAATGTTCCGTAACAATTCAAGTTTTACTGTCACTTTTTATAAATGTAAAAGCACCATCTGACCACAAACATTTCAAACATGAATTTCCTTGATGTAATTTATTTAAAAAAAAAAAAGGTATGAACTATTTAATATTTAAATTAAAACCCTTATATATTGTAATTAACGAATCTTCGTTAGAATTTAAAGGGGTGGTTGACTTTTTTTTCTAGGCTTGGTTGTGTTTATGGGGTGCAGTCTAACGTGTTTATGCTTCGTTTTTAAAAAAACATTTTTCACATAATTTACCTTTATTCCACACCGATCTGTCCCTTCTCTAACAAACGCCTCGATTATTTCCTGTTTTTATGAAGCCCCTCCCTCAGAAATACGCGATGGGCTGAGATTGGTCAGCTGGCTCAGTGTGTTGTGATTGGCTAAACCGCCTCTACAGCGCTTCTGAACATCCCGTCCCTCAAGCTCAGAATGTGCTCCGGTTGTATTGTAAACAATGACGTCCTCTATATTGCTTATCAATTTGAGCCCGACTGAGATGCAGAGAATATTAATGAAGAGGATTGAGCAGAACCTGTGCAAGCACGGCTCTTAATGGTATGTTTGTTTGTTGTGGTCTCATACTTTTAGATACGCTGTTGTTCGTAAATGCTACTGCTTCTGTTAGCTTTTAATATAGGGTTTTATCCTGATTAAAGCTTTAATACAGCACAGCAACCGTATGCACGTCCATGTATAACGCTTCTCATAGCTATGTGAAAATAAGTGTATAAATGGAACAGTTTGTTGGAGCTGA